TATTTATTTATTTCTTTTTAATTTATCAATATTGGAAGATAGAGTAAATCTTTAAATCCTAACTCAAATTTCAAAAATTTCATAAGATTTCGAAATGTACTATTTTCATGAAAAGAGTCCTCTTGGTGGTTATGATTTAATATATATATTGCGCAATATACTGTGTAAAAAAAGTTGTAGGATATTTTAAATTAATAAAATATTTCACTGAATCAAAATACAAGTTAAATTCGTGCACCGAGAAACGTAGCAGTAATTTTATTTTATATATTTTTGAAAAAATTATTGTATAAATAAAGAGAAATTTAATGATATATTTTGGTAGCAGAATCATATAACACCAATAAAACTTTCTGCATACTTTTTTTTTTTGTTCGACTGAGAAAGTATTTTGAGCTGTACAAATATTTATTTATTGAACTTGGTGAAACTCGCGTTAAATTCTAGTAAAACCCACTTTGAATGCCACGTTAAGGTGAAATCCGAGCTAGCATATTGTTTCACTTTCATGTGAACAGCAGGTTTCACTCCGTCGTATAATTTATTATCCAATAATTCCGTTGGTTCGGGCATTGCAGTACAGTACAAGAGCCCTTGTACTATTGACAAAAAACAAAACTACCGTATAAAATTAAACAAAAAGTCAGAAAAACAATAATTTATTTGAATTATTGAAATAAACAAACTAAATGAAAATGTGGTTTTGAACTTTGTGAAATTGTAACAAAGTGAAAACGGAAAAAATCGTCGTCCTATAAAATTATTTACTTTCGTTAAGACAAACGAATGTAAAAGGAGACATATACTCTAGTCCAATCTTATACAGTATTTCAGTATATTCAATTAAAATCTTATACCGAATAATAAAAAAAAACCAACCTATTTTCCAGATCAGGAAATATACTAGTAAATTATCAAAGCTTGATAATTTTTTATGCTGCCAACTCTTTTTTAACGAACTTCTTTATAATAAACTCTGGATATAATAAACTAAAAATTGGTTAATTTTCAATAAGCCTTATACTATACTTAAATTAAAAATTGTTCTTTCCTTTACTTTTCTAATAGCAATTATAAAATAGTAAAAATTATTGTAACTTATGATATACTAGTCACAATATAACAACTTTAACTGCAACTCTGAAATCAGTTCTTTTCTAAATAGTAGAACTGTCGCGATTATTAAATCACATGACCTGAAATTTTTTGTGTGGCGATTTGTAAAATCAATTAGAACGATAAGCAGAAAAAAAATGTAATATTCATTAAAGCCACATTTTAAAAGCTCAGCAACATAGCTTGTTTTTAGTTGAATGCTAGGTTTGTGCTTCTACCAGTGAGTGACTTCATCTTCACGAAACTTAGCCTATGTCACAAAAAGTATCGGTTTATTTGTTTATCGTTGTTTGTATAGTTCTAATTTAAGTTCACATGACTTGGAGACAACAGAGCCACACTTTTCGTGAGATAGAGTTTCGACAAGTCTTCAACGTTTAGACGTTTTGCAAGAGTTTCGACTATAGTTGTTAGACGAAACCTCTAGGTTTCGTGCTGACGAAACGCGAAACCTAGTTTCGTCTTTCGTCAATTATGACGAAACTGTAAAAGGTGATAAAACTAATAAAAGACGAATATACAAATAAAAAAATAAACAAAAAAAAATTTTTTATTGTATAATAGGCGCTTGAATTGTTTAAAGGGAGTTAGGAATGAATATTCTATATTATATTATACATATCAGTTCTAGTGAAAAATCGCTTGGTGCTTGTCCGAAAAGCTAGGTCGGAACAATATGACAGCCGGAACTAGAAACAAATTTACGTACGTTCGTCATCTTTTAACAAAATAAAATTTTTTATCATTATTTAAATTATAATAAGTCAATAATGTTTTTTCGTTTGCTTTTTTTTTTCCTGCAAAAAAAAAAAAAAAAGCGATGCAAAGTTTGTTATAAGCATTATTTTAATATTGTAAGCTTTATTTCGTTAATTACAAGCAAGAAACCATCAAATTTAAACGAAGTTTAATAAATAGCGTCTCACGACGATCCCGCATGCGTGCACGGGAAAAAAAAATAATAAGCAATGTTCGGCCGTCTAAAAGATATTTAATTAGGTTGGTATTTTATAGTTTTTAAAGTCAAAATTTATTTAACTATGTGCAACGAAGATCTAATAAGGATGCAATTTCTATTGAAAAGTTTTTAGCTAATCATTAGTAACGTTGAGAATAATAGCAAACTTCTTGTGGCATTGAATGTTTCAAGGATACAAAAAATCCGTGTTGTAAACTGCTTTATATTATCGTTATGATTGAAAAATAAAGTCAGTAAAAAGAAATAAAAAATCGAAGACATTTTCCGGACCTTCACCCGAACCCAACCTGGTACACATTTTCTGGGTGCTGAATATTATGAATGCTAATTCAATGAAACTAATAATTTGTTTCTTTTTATGTTTTTTTTTTTTTTTTTTTTTTTAGGAGCACTAGGGTTTCATCTTTTTGAGTGTAAGGTTTCGTCATTTTAAGTTTAAGGACAACTATAATCTCTAATCTTTAATAGTTACTTCCAATCATGTTGTGGGAATATTCCATGATCACATTTATCATAATAATTTGTCATAGATTATTTCTTTGATTAACGTTAATAATTGTCAATTTATATGCAAAGTGATACCAAAATTCCGTTTTTGATGCAGTATTGATCAGAATATCAAAAACGTAACTTTGCAATTTCTGTTTGATCGCCATTACAACACAACACAACACAACAAATAACGCGTGATTGGGAATGTTGTAAATATATAAAAGACGTTCACTTTAATGATTATGCTTTTCTTAACGTCCAACTATCATTAAACCTGAAACCCTTCATAAAACACTCATCTCGCATAATTTATGTAGTAAACGCGACCGCGACCTCAACCGTTACTCCACGTTTACCAAGAGAAAACGTTACCTCAACTATTCCTTATGCCCAAAGCTAAACCACACATGCTCACTTATTGCTTTCCCAATCACTACGTTATCGTTTGAAAATAGGTATAATGATAATTAAAATTCTTACCACATTACATATTCAAAATGATTTCTATCCCAGCTGAGGGCTTTTCGAAATCTTCAGCCTAAAATCTTCAGATTTGACAATAGGTGATTTAAACGATGAGATCAAAAATTGACTATTTTAATTTCTTTAACAATAATGAACTTACGAAGTAATATGATCCTAGAAGAATTAAATTTGAACGAGATAAATGGAATAAATTGTGAAGTACGAAAAATGAAAAGCAAATACTGCTGGAAAAAAAAGATGAGAAAATGAAGATAAAGTAATGCATGAATCTCGAAAAGCAACAACTCGCGGACGAGTTACGAAAAGCAAACGATGAAGAGCACTATCCGAACTATTATCTCGAATCGAAGCTATTTGATAAAAACACCTCGTTAGTCGGCTTGACCTTGACGAAGACAAAGCATCGTTGAAACTCTCATCGAAAATCAACTCGATTCTGTGGCAGAAGCATTTTCGGATTTGGTACAAAACGTAAGTTAATACTTGATAAATTTGTATAAATAAGCTTGTTACAATAAAGTTTTAATACTTAAATTATTTTTTTAGCTATGGCCATATCCTATAAAAAAAAGGATGCAGCACTTTAAGATTACGATAGCCTTGGATCCATATGAGTTAACCGCATTAGCATATGCACTACATACAAATAAATCTAATTTATATAAATCTTAGTTCAAACAGTATTGGTTCTTAATTTGCTTAATACCCTAAACGATTTAGACTTCACAAAATAATTGTTTATTAGAAATAGAAAAAAGAAAAATTAACAAAAGATTTTATTGTAAACTTAGATATACTTTGACTGTTTGTCTGTAAAGAATTAATAAAATCAAAATTTATTGTTATTTGCTTTATCCATGATAAATATTACTTAAATTTCACAGAATCAAAATCTTTTACTCAAAAAATTTTTTTATCGTGTATGAGCAGTTGTTAGACAAAACCTCAAGGTTTCGCGTTGAACCTAGTTTCGTCTTTCGTCAGAAGAATTTGAGGTTTCGACTTTTGGAGTTTAGATTTCGTCTTTCGACATCATGCGAAAAAAGGTTTCGTCTAACAACTATAGTTTCGACGTTATATTACAGGTGACCATTTCCATTTGGCACTGAGGCGTGGCGAATCATTATGTGACGAATAAGCATTAACTAATATAAGTAATTAGTCAATGGCTTAATAATTAAAAATGACAAGGTGAAATTTTACAAAATTCTAACCCGATTCCATGTCTTTCTCGGTTGGTATCACTTATAGAAATAAGTAATTCCTGTTAGGTGATTTCAAGAACATCGTAAATATTTAATTTAAAATTTTATTGATTTAAATTGAATGATAATGCACCAATATTAAGTGACAGTGAAATTTCGATTAAGTTTCGTTTCGATGTGTTTCTACGAACGTTTTAATTTCGACAACCATTTATTGTAGCAGAATGAAATTTGAGTTTCTATCTAATCCCTAATACTTGTTCTTTATTATAAATTTATCCTAAAGCTGACCACCCTAATCCTAAAAAATATATCACAAAAAAATTTTGCATTTTTTTATGTATATTTTACACTATGTAAAGCTTCATTTTAATCTGATTTCATTAAGAGATTACTTAACATGTTAATTATTGCGAGCTTATACTGTATGAGACACATTATACTACCGGATCTTTGGCATTGATTATTTAACTCGGATTAGTATACTTTAGGTTTGATATCTGTTAAAGAAGTGACATGGCGAGAAGTAATTTTTGCAATAATTAAAGATTATAATTTATTTGACTCGTATGAATGACTATATTACGTGATTGCATACCGATTTGCTTGGAATCGATTGATGACATTAGTAAAGTTTAAAATTCAAGTCATTTATTTGACTTTTTGCAATAATATATATATATATATATATAAGAGTAATTAATTACAGATTATAGAAAAAGATGAGAACTTCAAAAGATAAAATAGCAATGTCATTCGTTATAAAACCTGATGAAACTATTGAAAATATTGATGGCACACCCATAGATGTTAAAGAAGTTTTCAAAACTGCAATAGTTATATTAGGAAACACAGGCAAATATAAAAGAACTAAAGTATTATATATATATATTGGCACGTTAAATTAAATAAATATATATCTTTACATACACATGTAGGTGCTGGTAAAAGTACCTTAGGAAACTGGCTCTTTGGATTTCAAGGAGATGATCCAAATGCAACATTTAAAACGGAATTTTCTATGGTAATAATAATAATAATATATATATTTATTTATAACTTATTATAAATTTGTATTCTACAAACCAGGAACCTGTCACTAAAGAATGCCAGGCGGGTTTAATTCGGATTAATGAAACAACTTATAACCTCATCGATACTCCAACAGTATTCAATAACATGGGCTTGAGTGATATTAGAAATGATAATGTATTAAAAAAGATTGCTGAAACTATTCTTGTTTGCTCATACGGAATTCAAGCAATGATTTTCGTTGTTGGTATGACTCTTTATAATAATTCGTAAATCTATGTACAGTATTTGTTTTATTAAAAAAAAAATTATATCAAATTATAGATATAAAACAACGTGTGGATTTTTCAAAGACGTTCAAAGTGATTAAAGCATACCTTGGTGACAAAATTCTCGAAAACACAATTGTAGCATTTACAAATCTTAGTAAAAAGCAAACCGAAAATCCGCAACTTCCTGAAACTCTTAATCAAGGAATACGAGATCTTTTGACTTCTGTTGAAAATAGGTGGTTCATTTCGCCTAATCCGGAATTGTACAAAAAAGATAGCAAAATCGTACTTGACAATATGAAAAAGGCTAAGGAGTTGATAAGTGGGTTCAAAAGTGCATATACTACAGCTATGTTCAACGAAATTAGGGAGGCAGAGAATAGAGAAGCGGCAGCTCGTAATGCAGCAAATGACGGTTGTTTCAAACTTGATACCAAAGTCATGCTTATAAATAAAAAAGTTGTTCCAATGTCTTCGGTTCGCATTGGAGATCGAGTTTGTTGTGGAACAATTGATGGGAAGTTAAAGTTCTCTGAAGTTTATTCTATCGCTCATCGCAGCTTTGAAATTACCAATGAATTTTTAAAGGTTGAATTTATGACAATTGATGGAACTAGAAGTAAATATCTTAATATAAATTTAATTGCTATCGTTATTTTGTTATCCAATATATCTTTAATATCATTTCATATTACTACAGAAGGATCGCTTTATTTAACACCAGAGCATCATATATTCGTTAATAATAAATTTGATTACGCAAAAAACTTAAAGGGATTTCACACGATACAAGTTCTCGTTAACACAAGACTAATTCAAGCTTATGTTATGAATTGTTCTAGAGTAAGTATTTAAAGATTTAAAGATATCATGCCGTCCTATATTAATTTAATCAAATATATTTAAACTGTTAAACAGGAATATCATAAAGGATACATTGCAATTTTTACGAGGTCTGGTACAATCATTGCAGACAATGTACTTTGTTCTTGCTATGCGGTTTGTCCACCATATCAAAGTATCATTCATCTTTCATTATTGCCACTTCGGCTTTTTCCAAAGTTTGGAGAATACACTATTATAGGTAGTAATGATGAAGAGATTGATGAAGAGATTCACTCATACCTCTATTTCTTAATGCGTTTATATCATATTTTTAAAAGATTATTTGAATTTATTAATATTCGTTCTTGATAATGTAAACAACATTTGTTAATAAAAAAGATTCTAGCACATATATTGTGAAGGGGTAAACCGTGGCTTGTGATGAATTTTTTTTCACATAACGATAGTAGATCAGATGCATATTAGGTTTGGAGGATTTTGCTATGTACATTTTGTACACGATGTACATTTTGTACGTGAACATTATTATGTTTTATACATAGTGATAAACGCGAACATGGCATAGCCATTATGTATTTACTAGTAGTATAGAAACTATAAATACGATGCCTTCTGTATCTGTAATAAAGCAGTTTAGTTTTGGGTGAAGAACTCTGTAGAGTTCAAACACCCTTTAGTATAAGTATTCGTTCTAATTCCCCCCGATAAGAAAATTCGTTTAGTAAATTAGTAGCCTAATCCTGTGATTCCGAATAGACTCGTGACGTAATCTAGAGCCTTATTGACCTTAGTTACTCGAACCAAGTCTTCCACGCCACTTTCGTAGCTTACCATTACTAGGGTTTAGTCTCTAGAGTGGAGTTTTAGATAGTGTTAGTGTGTGTTGATATTTGTGAGGCCCATATTTAGAGATTCCAGAGCAGTTTTCACCTTTACAACATATGTATGTACTATACGTCCATAACTTTTATTATCAATACTTCTAATTATTGTCATTAATCTCAATCCTAGAAAAAAAATATCAAAATTAATGAATATACTTTATTCGTAATATTGAAAGATATAAAAACATTTCTTTGCCTAGCAAAGCATATTGTTCACAAACTTATTTACGTGAGTCAATAAAATTAATAAATCTAACATTTAAGTTAGTTTAAATAAATTAATGAATTTAATTAAATTTTACATTTAATTAATACACTATAAATTGAATTTAACGAGCGTTTTTATTCTAACCTAAGGACTATACTTCAAGGAAAGATAATGTAAAATGATCATTCAATTAACACATTAACACCATTAACCCAATTATCCCAATCAACCCAATTAACCCAATCAACCCAATTAATCCAATTAACCCAATTAATACTAAATTAAAAGACATCCTATTAACCTACTTTTAAATCTCGAATTAAAAGAAAAAAAAAGTAATGAATGCCAATGTTAATTTTCTGCAATTAAGAGAGATAGAGGGGAAAAAAAAAAAAATTAGAAAACAAAGTGATAATAACTAATTAAATTCCATGAACCTGATTAATTCTAATGCAATAAACACATAAAACAAAAAGAAAGAACAATACAGTAAAAGCAATACCAAATCCACCATATACCCATCTATAAGGAGAATTATCAATAACATCATAATAAAGTATATAAGATAAACCAAGAGTAGAAGCGGTTAAGAATAAAAAAAAACCTATAATAACTTCAGTAAAAGATCTCTTATGCATTCCACAAATATAACCACGTTCTAAATCAAATTTATTTAAACCAATTATCTCAGGTTCACCAGTAGTTATTTGATATTTTGGAGGAGTTAATGTAATAATTAATTTATTAAGTAAAGATAAATTTTTCAATATATGTTCATTTTCTTTTCCATTAATCGTCATAGGAAATATATTATCATCAGGATTTGGAATAATTACCCAACGACCAGAAATTATGCCACGTTTACCAACTGTTCCTCTTAATTCAGTATTAAAAGTTGTTTCCATGTATTGCCTTGAAGTTGTTTGATTGTATGTACCTTTTGTGAATACTATTATTATAATGTTCAAATAGGCAGTTACAATTTGACGAAAATTTTGTTTCTGAGTTTTAGACATTCTGTTTGAATCTTTTAAAAAAAAAATAAGAATTCGAATTCAATTACAGTATTATTAAAAAAAAAAACGAAAAAGAAAAGAAATTGAAGGAATAAATTTAAATACGAACCTAATACTAATATAATTGAAACAATTTCAAGGTACTGATCAATACTTTGAATTAGTTCATCAATCTGTGATATAATATCAATACTTGATTGATCCTGATCTTCTGATAGAATTAAACCCGGAGTATCAATTAAAATATAATTTATTCCATTTATTGTAACTGGATAAGGTTGAACTTCATCTGATTTCTAAAAATTAAAAAAAGTAAAATTTATTAATAATTGTTATTAAAATGAAATTGGATGAATCATATTAAAAAGATGTTAAAAAGATTTTAAAAAAGATTTTAAAAAAGATATTAAAAAAAGAAATTGATGAGATACCGTAAATGGACCACCATCACGATATTTGCCAGCAATCATATTAGCTACGGTACTTTTTCCCACACCTGTTGAAAAAGAATAAATAATAATTTTAATTGTGAAAATTATAACTTTTTAAATTATTTTTTTTTAAAAAAAAATAACTTGATTAGAAAACATACCAACTTCACCAATTATAAGAATTGCAGGAAATCTTTGCTGTTTCTCGGATTGTTCATTTTCATTAGATTCGTCAGAGGTGGTCGAAGACATTTATGATTTTTCGTTAAAAAATATAAAAGTACATACGAAATTGTAATGGTATAATCATATTAATATGATTAATTAGATTAAGAGAATAATAATAAGAATATTTGAAAGATAAAGGAAAAAAAAATTTCCCCACAAGTTTTTAAATTTAATTTTTTTTCGAGAAATAAATCTTTTTTAAGAAGAAATGATGTAATTATTATTTTTGTTTTTGTGGTAAAAATAAACGGATCCGGAATATATCATGTGTTTAATGATTCCAAAATCGTTTACATTAAGGTTTCAACACGGACAATTATTTATGAATGGAAATCCTTTTTTGATTTTATAAGCAACAGGTTAAAGACTCGATGTTAAGGTTTAAAAAAAGTGGTTTCACGGGTTTTTTTATTTAAACGTACTCAGTGGATTTGAGTAATGTTGTACAATTTTATGTAGTAAAAAATTATTGGATGATATATATAAATTTTTTCTATTATAAATATAATTTAAGAAGTTCTTTGAAGAAATTAATAACTGAAATTATGAGAAAAGAGTTTAAAGAGATATATAAATAATTAAATTCTAAACAAAAAAAAAAGATAATATTTTTCGTAACGAAACGATAAACCGTGACAAATAAATGCAATATTAAGATCAACAACATACATACGAACTAAACTAAAAATTCGTATAGTTAAATATTTAATCCGGCGATAATAAACGATATCTGATTGTAAAATTCAAACATCATATTGTTTAAAAAAGGTCAAAAAAGTTCAAAATGGGTGGCTTAAGCTCTTAATTGTCGAAACAGATCGAAAAGCTTTAAGTAGATCATTACTCAAGGATATTGTACGTATCCTCTATATTTGTATTTTATCAATACGCTCTATGTATTAGGGATGGAATATAATGCATCCAATGGTGTTAATCTCATGTAACTCCCACATAGATATCCAGATCCCCAACATCTATAACCGCATGAAATAAAGTTTAACTGCTGAGAAAAGACACTGCATTATCTTGCTGCTTAGGTTTATTGCATATGCTGTTGATCTATTACTGTATCGAATTCGTTGATACAGTATTAACTGAATTTATAAATGCATAGTTACCAAAGCAAAAGAAAATATGAAATTTGAGAATTCTTAGCCATAATTCAAGCATAATTACAAGTCCAACCTTCATTTTGAATCAGTGACCTGTTGTTTAAATCATAGAAGACGATCATACGACTTATCTGGAAGATTTATAGTCGTCGAACAAACTAAGCTTGAATTGTGTCATTCAAAAATGAGCAACTGTCGTGTAACAATATAGAATTAGAAAAGCTATTGGTTTTTGTCACACATCTTTTTTAGGTATATGTGCGTGTGCTCAAGTTACCAAATTTATTTCAGTCTACTTTAAGTGTTATTAAGTACGTACTTACTCGTTATGGTAGACTATTGATATAACTAACATGTGGGTATAGACTTTAACCGATATAATGAAGTACATACAGTATAGTATTCTCATTTCACTATCTGCTATGGCGAAAGTTGTATATAATATTACAGTTAATATAAATTCTGGACAATGTTCGTTACTTTGTGCTAGGCCTAATTTTATATTGTTTTCACAATTATTATATAGAATATTTAAGGAGAATATCTCAAGTATAAAATTATCAATTGTGCAAAAAATGAGCAGTTGTTATATTAAAATTTGTTTCTTTTTTTTTATATGCCATTAATTAGCACATGATCGGACTGTTAAATAAAATTCTATCCTATATTGTACATACGTACGTATTAAAAAAATTAAGCAAATAAATCAATTTAGGTAATCGGTCGAAATTATTCTATTATAAAATGCGATAAAATAATATTTTTATAACTCATTTTGATCAATCGATTGTAATATATATTTTAATTTTAACGAAAGATTCTAACTCGCCAACACTATGAAAAAGCTGATATAATTGTTTAGTGTACTACAGACTATTAATTTAGGCTAAAAAATTAACATAAAGTAAAAGTTATCAAGTAACTTAAAATAGACTTTAAATACATAGGTTATAAAGTTAGGTATGATCTCGAAATTTATTATGGTTACACGACAGCGAGAATAATAATAATAATAGGTAAGTTCTCGGTTATATGAGAGCCCGAAGGCATTCATTTAAAGATCTACAGGGTTATTTCCCGTAGTGCTGTAGTAACGACTTATCGATATTTATACTGTAATAGAATCAATAATCGGTGAAAAAAGATTTCCAGCAACACTTGTTATTCCCTGGTTTACTTGAAAATACTGGAAATCTGAAAACTTGTTTTTTTTTCAACGATTAAAAATAGTGATTTTAAGCCATAAAATCCCGTCTGCGATCATATAAGGTCATGTAGAAATGTGAAATAATATCATATTAATATGTAGTGCTCCATAAAATGAGCTTGGATAAATCCTAGGATAGCCGACATCGACTGACATATCGATTTTACTTAATAATTATTGGTCAGGCCCGACCGACTATTATAATTGGATGTTACACATAACGATAACGATGAATCGTTAGATAATCTCTGATTCAAAGTTTCGCGCTTAGTCTTGCATCAATACAAATAGAGAAACAGGGAAATTGTACGAAAATATGTTACGATGCAAACTGCATGGCTAAATAAACTACGGATCTTATATATTTCAAGTTCGCATTGTAATGATTCCATATTTGTACAATATAATTTTCATATAAGTAACATTAATCCCAAAATCGTAACTGATATCTGTTTACTCATTCGACGTACGTATCTTATGAGATTAATATGCAGTATTATTTATGCATTAAATTCATTAAAATTGATGATTAAAAATGCTTGTTTATTGTTTATTACGAAGAGAAAAATAGTAAAGACAGTTTATTTCATGTTATATATATATTTTTTGTTTTTGCAATAATTATTTATGCAATGATTTTTTGTTTGTTAAACATAACGATAACGCATGCAATTTAAATACTGTATTATAAACAAGTTTAGATTGAATATACATAGGCCATTCAATCTATTTATAAGAATTTTAAATTTTCATCAATTACTTTTTTCATTCAAACTAATTATAGAAAAATCATAAAATTCGAAATTTATGTCTAAAATGTGTATCTTTTATTTATCGTTAGTAAATATAAATATCCACAACGAAAGTAACTATCTAAATGCCCAAGATTATGAATTCTATTAAAAGATTGTATGAAACAAATGCGATATAAATTATAAAGTAATATTTAAAAAAAATTATGACATTTCAGTTTTTGAACGCTCACATTCTTTTATCAGATTGGCGAAATGAGGGGCATAGTAAATGGAGCACAAAAGGGCCCATATAACAGTCCAAAATAAAAGAAGTGAGGCTGAACTCACTTGATCTAAAAACGTATAAAAGAAAAAAAAGTGATTGACTAATAAATAAACTATTACTATTATAACTACAGAAGATGCGCCACAAACATAGCACTTTGCCAAACAGCTAATAAGAATTATGCAGCCGATTAAAATAATTAAAACGATGTTTAAAACGAAAAAAGTTATATTAACTGTGAATTCAAATGGTGTTTTTAGACCATTCTTTATACTCATTAAAGCACTAATCATCCAGCCTGCTTCTACGCCAATATAATACGCGAATAGAATGATTACTGCAATTATTATGAATGCAATAATTTTTTTCTGCTCCTCACAAACAATTATCAACGTAAGACATGTCACTAACAATGCTAAACACATGAAGCTCAGCAATAATCTTGTTCTTAATGTGAACCCCTCTTTTATATAAAAAAATAAAAAGGGGAATACTGTCGTAAAATACATAAAAAATATAACCCCAAATATTTCTATGACATATTCCCTGAATTCACATTTGGCAAAGTGGAATACCATCAAGGTAATAATGAGAAGTACCGTGATAATAATGTATGGAACATATTCCGTTATACTAAAATTAAACAATTCCGATGCAGTTGGGCTGGCTGTAACTTCTGAAATGATTATACTCAAGAGAATAAGGATTTTCGCTAAGATTTTATCGGCCATTTTCGATTGGTATTATCTTTGTTTAAAGTTAATCAACGTTAATTGTGAAATATACCTTCTTTCTTAGGATGTGTATGAAGTTTAAGGAAAGATGTCTAAAAAAATGATACATGCAAAACAAAAAAAAACTATATATATGTTTGTTTAATACAAAGGGTTTGTCGTTGTAATAATGTGAAAAAAAAATATTACATAATTTGCGTTACGTTTCTTGTTTCATTCGTATTGCCATATATGTTTATCGGATACTTCAAAGTCCGATTGTCTTATTCTTTGTACCATATTTTTTATCCTTTTCTGATTTTCTGTGCTTACGTTAAATTTTCCATGAGATCCACAATGTATGATGTTTCAGTTTATCATTACCGTAACACTTTAAGAACAATTTAATTTAATTACTATTATTTTGGAATTATTCCTTTATCTACTGTAAATACTTAATTTTATCATTATGTAAATTTATGTACAGTACAAACGCCTTGTTATATGATTTTGAACTACATCGATAAATAGTGTTGTATTCATGTTTTTATTTTGTACAGTATCCCCCAAAAGTTTATCATTGTTACAGTACACAAAAAGTCTATCACCGTTAGTTAACGATATAGCAGAAATGATATATCCACAACCTAATGTTTTGTGTAATGGCGATAAACTTTTGGAGCCTACTGTACCTAAATTTGTATAGTGGTTATATTGTTCAATCCGCACCAAAAAATTCTAATATGATTACTAACATTATATTAAAAATAATTTGTCATAGACTAAAACATAGAGTATAATTTTGTTTATTTTTATTTAATATTTAAACTATACAAAAAAAAAAAAAATAGGTATGTTTTAAAACAAATCACGATTGATTTTAAATCTGTTAAAAAAGGTTTTTGGCGTAATTATGACTCGATTACGTAATTTAAAAGTTCAATTGGGACGATCCTTACTAAACGCCCTACCTAAATTAATTTGTTTAGGCTGATAATTTTGGTCAATTAACATTTGGAACAATATATATATAATATAATATAATTCTACAAAACAATGTCTCATGTCCCCTGTTAAAAGAAATCCGCTAAACCTGATAAACATGATCGAACAACACTCGCCAAAATGTAATTATTGCGAGGACTGTTGATTTAGTTAAAACGATTAAAGGTCATTTATTAAATGTAAAAACTTCAAAGAAATATAGAAGATTAATTAAAAGCTCAAAAACAGGATTCTGGTTCTTCAAATAATTCATTCGCGAAAACTTATTCAATGAGATTTTACATAGGGGTAATTTTGGACTTTCAATAGCAGCAAATGTAAAATTCACATAGAATAAAAGGTTGTATTGGTCGATAAGCAAATTTCGCATTAAAAATGTAATAGCTTTGAAAGCGATCAAATAAAATTTTTATAATATCTAATCATATATAATTATTATTAAAAGGTAAATAGGGGTATTACTTCTTTTTAAAGCATTTTTAATAAATAGTATTGGCTACTACTGTATTAACAAAATTAGATAATAAATAATACTACCTTATTTTAAAAACATTATTTAAAATTTTAAAATTTGTAAATTAAAAAAATTTTTTTTTTGATATTAATAACTTTAATTAATATTAACTCTAACAAGTTTACTAAAATGCGCCTATGGTGCTAAACACCATAGATGCTATTTCTCAAAAACGTACTAAGTAATTAGAATCCGGGTTCTAAGCAGAAATTTTCAGGATTCCTGAAAACCTCACGAGGATTGAAATCGGGAACTTATATCTAATCTACATTATGTTATATAAAACCCTTCTTTATTCAAAAACTGCACACTAACCATAAATTTTAATAAAAAATTATATATGATGTTCCTAGTGTTTTGACCCGGGTGGGTCGGGTATCCGGGTCGAGATAATGACCACCCGGGTGGGTCAACCGCGGGTCACCCGACGGGTCAACCATCGGGTCACCCGATGGGTCAACAGTCGGATCATCCGTGGCAACGGGTGACCCGACTGTTGACCCACGGGCCTTGGGTCAACCGTCAAGTCACCTAATGGGTTAAACCTAAACTCATCTATCAAAATCAGGTACGTACGTATATAAAATGCTTTTATTGTAAAACTTTAAGATATAGACCCAACTAATAATGCACCATTTAATAAAAAAATGATTACTAAATTCATAAGGCCGCAATATATGTAAAGATGAGGAATGTTTATTTAAAATAATAAAAATTTTGAATTGTAAAATCAAATCACCTTACATCCTTAAAACCGAATTTGCGTGTAAATACATTTTAGGTATTTGAATAAGTTTAAATGTAAATAAATTTACCTAGATATTCAAACTTCGTATGACCAAAATTTTGCTTCTATGGACGCATTTTTGTGATATTAATCCAATGCAAGGATACAAATTATTTTTGAAGCCATCGGGTAAATAACATCTTATAGCAAATATCAAGTATAGTTAATTTAAAAAAAAATAAAATTCTTTGAATTATTAAATAATACTCAAGCCTGGATCAAAAATTTAGCCAGCGATTACATGTCTGACTTTGGTGGCGACGCTAGATGAACTCAACCGATTAAGCTAACAACAGGCCAATCGACAGTTAGAAGGCCCGAAGTAAATGTTAAAGAGCTTCTAAGTTTACGGTTTAATAATCTGAATGCAGTTCAGGAATTCTAAATGATTATATACGACCACGTGATAGTCTAACCATTTATACTGCATAACAGATCCCATGAATATGCTTGCATAAATGGTATAAGGAAAAGGTATGTGTACCGTTATGTACAAAGTAATATTAAGTGTGGCATGTAAGGTAAAGATACCACGTAAGAAAGAATATGGAGATATAAGGGTAAATTTATGCATAAGAATAAGTGACAATAGTAAAAGGGGTGATGCAAAGATAAATTAACTGAAATAGATCTAAATAATAAAGAAAATAGAAATATAAAGAAGGAAAACTATAGAAACCCACCATAGCGATATTAAATTCTCATTGAAACATTATCGTATAATCCACGCAGATGTTCTAAAATAGATCAGAATAATAAAGTAAATAGAAAATATAAAGAAGGAAACCTGCTGTAGCGATATTAAATCCTCATTGAAACATTATCATATGATTCATGCAGACATTCTGAAATAGATCAGAATAAAAAAGTGAAAAGAAAATATAAAGAAGGAAAACCATAAAAAACTTTCCATAATGACCTTAATCCTTATTGAAACATAGGGTTGCTGGTGCAAGTGGTGCACCACTGCTGCACCATTAAGTTAGCATATAAGTTTAAAGCATTGCACCAGTGGCGACGCCACCTGCACCAGCAACCCTATTGAAACACCATAAAATTCATATTGATGTTCTGAAATAGATTCGAATAATAAGGAGAATGAAAAATATAAAGAAGAAAAACTATAAAGAATTCGCCGTAGCAATATTAAATCCTCATTGAAACATTGTTATATATATTATGCAAATGTTATTAAATTAAAAGTTATATGATTAGCACAGGTTAAAAGAGACCCCTATTAAAAAACATCATATGATTCATGCATAATATTGTTCTTTGTTTTAATTATCTAAAAACCATAGTCAAAAAAATGATTAGCATTGGAATAATGTTTGTTTAATAAATAAAATCATGTATATAAAGAGCTTGTTCTGACCTTTAATAAAGATAAACATTATCTTGTTTAGTTTTTTATACACTTCTATTTGAGATAATTTGCATGCTGTAATAAATAAAAAACATTAGAATTAGATAACAATTTTAAAAAGTATAGATAGTAATAGTGAATACATCTCTAAAATTGATCATATCTCTGATAATGATATTCAAGAGATTGTTGAATATTCTACTAGTGTAACTAGAAGAAAAGCTGTTGATAAGCCAGTTGAAGAACCAAGTGCAAAGAAGATTTGAGTAAATCTTTCTAAACCACCTAGTTCTAGTAGAAAAAGCTATGTCTGAAAATATTTTAAAAAGATGGGTGAAAATAATGTCTGTAAGATAATTGTATTTCGAAAAGGCGCAGAAGCTGAGTATAATACAAGTTATAAACATGATAGATTAACTGGAAATATAAAAACACATTTGCATTCAGCTTATAAAATCCTTGGATTGGATAAATCACTAAGTTCAAATAAAAAATAACAATTAAGTATAAACGACATGATTAGACAAGTAAGACTGCATAATATATCTAAACAATCAGAGTTACAAAAAGTTACAGCTGAATAGTTGGTTACTGATTCTCTTGCATTTAACATTGTATGTAAAAAGGATATCATAAAATGATGCAATGAATTGATCCTGCATTTAAACCACAAATTACAAGTGTATTAAAACAGATCTTAACATGGCTTATCAAAAAGGTGTAGTAGAATTTAAAAAATTACTTAACAACACCTGTGAAATAGCCTCTATAACCATGGATCTGTGGATATCCTGCACTAATCATGGATATATCAGAGTTACCCTTTACAGCATAACAGAAGTTTGTTTTAATTGGCTAAAATTTGAATAAATATGATTGGCAATAATCATTTATTTATATAGTTAATTGTAATTTTTAAAATACTTTTATTAGCAAAAATTGTCATGGCATATAAAAAATTTTTTTTGTAGTATATAACAAAACAACAAACTTAAGCAACCTATTTCTTACCTTTAAACCTACTGTTTTTTAATGAGAGATATAGTAAGATATAGAAGTTCAAGAAACTAGATGAGAAGTGAATATTTTGAAAAATCAGGAAGGTGGTTTGGCAATTTAAACAAATAATAAGTGAAATTGTGAGATTTTGTTTTAACTAAGCTTGTTTACCCTACAAATAAAAAAAAAATACTATTTTGAATTATTATTGTATTCTAAAACTTTTTATTGTATTTATTTAGGTTACGAATATAGTTTATAAGTTTATAGATACAAAAAGTTGTAATAGTAGTAGTGTTTAGGATTGTTTGGGTATGCGTAATGTATTGCGAAACTGAATTAAAGCA